CTCAAGTAGGTTGTTGTGCAGTTAATTCACGTTCCTGTTCCCAGCCTGTAGCACAGGACTTCATGGCAACATTTAATCAAGTTCCATGGTACCCAAAAATATTTCCACACGAGGGCGATGTCTTCAGACCCTTGGTGCTGATGAAAGACCCCTTATCAGCCACTTGGCTTGAGGCCCAGCCTTCTCTGGGTGGGGTTGTTCTCACTGGCCAGTCCTCAGCTCCAGGAGCAAGTGTTAAGGGATGTGACAGAGGGGTCCCCCTCTCTGTGTACAGACAGGAGTGTGACAGGTCAGTATGAGAACCTCATACAAACTAGGCCTCTCTTCCAAGTCCTGTTAGAAATCAAATGCCAGGAGACAATGCAGGCCCTGGGACCTGAGGGATGCTGGGGGCACAGCAGCCCCTCCCCACACCCTCCAGACCCCCTCCTCTGCCTGGCCTTCCAGTCTGTGTCCTGAGCAAAGCAGGTCTCCTATACAAACACCATGCCTGCGTTCTGCCAAACTTCAGCCCCAGAGTGCAAGAGGGACGGAGCCAGAGGTGCTGATGTGCTTATTTTTATGTCATCTCATTACTGAAAGATCCCCATTTAGCTGCAGAACTCAAACTCTCAAGCCCCCAGATCATTTTACTTGTTTCAAGAAGTAAATATCCCACGCCGTCCACCCCAGGAAGCCCAGTCCTGTGGGTTCGGCTCTGCTTTTCTCCAAGGTTCCTCGGCAAGAACAGCCCAAGGAGCTGAGGTGCAGGGCAGGGCCAGTCGGTTACCGGGTGTGCAGGGCGCTAACGTTTAACCTCCTGCTGCCAGAGCACCGCTCCCTAGGCGTGGGGGCGCCCCTCCCGGACCAGATTCCTGGCATAGCTTTCCCACAAGGCCCAGCTCACCTGGGGGTCATGGCAGCTGGTCAGCAGGGAGGTCCCGCGGTGCCGGCTCAGCGTCTTGCCCCAGCCCGCCTCCCGGGCGCTCCACCCACCCGCGGCGCCTCGGGCATTCTCAGAACTATCACCGCTGTGCCCGGGCACCCCCAGAGGCAGGGTACAGAGCCCGCCCGGCCCAAACAGGCGCTGCTGGCCTATGGGTCAGAGACAGGAGAGCCTCTGCAAGCCGGCAGATCACGGCCTGCTGTCCCGGTGCCTCTGCTCCCACCGCCGCCGCCCCACCGCGGCCCAGGGAGGGGTGGAGCCTCTGCCCTGCCCCTCCGGGACCAGCTATTTTTAGGTCTGTTGGGCAGTGGAAGGAGGGAATGCCAGTTTAATCCATTAGGAAAATCCAGGATCCAAGTGAATGAATGGCTCCCAGGCCTTGCTGAGAGGCCAAGCAGAGCCCAGCCAGGCTGGACGTGCTCCGGTACACACACACACACAGACCCGCATACCCACGCCCACCACACAGGCACAGCACCCCCAGACACATACACAGACACGCACTCCACACACACCACACCCACAGCACCCCCCCAGACACACGTACACAGACACACACCACACACACACACAGCACACACACCACACACACACACACACACACATACCATACACTCACAACACACATCCACTCACACACCATACACACACACACACACACACACACACACACACACACCACCACCACTCGGGTGGAACCCACTGGCCTGCTGAAGGCTGGGGCAGCTGCACCCTCCAGGCCGACGCCCAGCACACCGGCCCCAAACTAAGGGGACCTGCCTGGTTTCCGATTCGGCCTCACAGTAGTCCTTGGGTGTGTCCACCTCCCAACCTTCTGGCTTGCCCCATGGGTCCACTGTGAAACTCAGAACCATAGAACTCTCTCTCCTTGTGTCAGTCCCTCCC